GTGAAGAACGCGAAACAGTGCACTGGTTATGACAACGTCGCGTGGGGCATGACGTCGAAAACACGGACTGCGAAAGGCCCAGCCTGAGACAGCAGCAGCACATGAGACGCAGGTGTGATATCAAAGAGGTGCATCTTGTACGCGCGCTTGTCGCAAACGTGGGCAGTGAGTCGCTGCTCGTCTTCGAATGGCCGCGAATGCGCCAGGACATGCCAGCAGCGACGCTGTCGAACCAACACGACCAGTGCGTGGCGGTCGGAGCCATCGTAGCGCAGGCCTGCCCAATCCTGCTCACCGACCGTTGGGGGAGTTTGTTTGCATTCCAGATGCGAGTTTTACCTTCAATGGAAACGGATCCGTGCCCGGTCCCACGAAGCGATGCTGACGGCATCGTTCAGTTCAGGGCACGAATCCTCTCAAGTGGGGCGTCGTTGAGGAAAACGACAACGCATGAAAACGGCCCCATTGTCGCGGAGCTGATGCTGCAAGTCGAGCGCATCAAACTGCGCTAAAGCGCAGAAGGCGGGCATGAGGGAGTCGCATTGCTCGCCGCCTTCGCCCTGACTGACATCGCGGGCAAGCGGCGTCATCCCACCGCGTGCAGACGCTCGGAGTGGAGCAGAACTGCCGAGCGAAGGGGAAGAGCGGGTGGACCTGGAGATCAGTCAAGAATCGTGCCGCGCGGAAATAAGCGAAACATGTTCGAACGCGGCGACGACGCTGACTGAGGGGTCGCAGTGGCACGCAGGCATGCTGTGACGGCCCACACCTTTCGTTGGTGGCGTGAAAAGGTCCGGCCGCTGAGCCGCGTCGGACAGCGGCAGACAAGGGCAGAGGGCACTGCTCATCGGGCACGTGCCGGAGGGCTGCCTCTGGCAGTGGCGCATAAGCACCTGAACCGCGCGGTCATCCCGGGCTTTGGCTTCCAGAATGTGCACGAGGGCCTCCGCCCCGGCATGCGTGGACGATGCATACGAATGCGGGTGGCAAGCCCCGTCGAGTTGTTGCGAAAACTGTTGAGCCAAGGATAGCCAAGGTGCAGGCAACAAGCCTCCGCAGCAGGTCGCCAACAGCCTGCAGAAGCCTCCACAAGCACTGCGAATAGCAACCAATCGGCCCATTTCCAATCCCAAGAACGCGAATACCCCTTCCGCGCAACCCTTCCGCCACTGCTTCCGCAGCCTTTGGCGCCTCGAAGCATTGGCACACTTCTGAGTCACTGCGTGTCTTCCACCTGCCCTTCCGTGGACCGTTTTGCAAACGAACCCTGCCGCGAGAGCAAAAGGCCCTTCTTTCTGTTCTAAGGGGGGCAACCTTCCTGCAGATGTATTCTTCGGGCGCGGCGACTTGAGTATTCGTTGCTTCCGCGCCCTTCCGTGGAGCAATGCCTTCCGCGGCCCTTCCGCCCCAGATCGAGCGAAAGTTTTGTGTCCATCTGTAGTCTGCCGTCAAGAAATGGATGAAACGGAACAAAAAAAGCCAGGCCCAAGCGCGGGAACCAAGATGTTGTCTGAAAACTTTTCTGGGAATCTTGGTTCTTGGTTCCACGGGACCGTGTTAACTAACACGGGCCCAGGCCTGGGAACTAAGATTGGCCAGGATTTTTTTCCGGGAATCTTGGTTCTTGGCTCATGGTTCCTGGTCCCGTGTCATTAACACGGGCCCATGGGCATGCGAACCAACTCGCAACAGCTTTCCAAATCCCGGTTCTTGGTTCGTGAAGCTCTGTACGTTAGCCCGCCGTGCACAGCCACGGGACGGGTAGCGCCCACGTTGGGCCAGGTACTCAGACATGATCCCTTCACAACCAGTGCCAAAAAATCAACACAAGCCGCCTCGCACAGCCATTAGCACCCTCATCCTCATTGGGCCAGGTGCCCAGGCACGACCTTTTCAGGACCAGTACCATGTAGCCGATATAGTCCTTCATTACATTCGTGATCCTTGGTTCATGGCCTGTGTTACTCATTACGGGCCTAGTGATTTGTATGGTTTCAATCATGAGTTCTATATGTGGTTCTATCATAACATTCAGAAGTTTTGCTGACACATAATGTTGCTACATAGTCACAGCAAGCCGTTAGAAAACCCTGTTGCAGATCCTGAACATTATTTAAGTATGTGCGCGAACTTTCAAGCCACGGATCCACACTGGGGAATGTAGTACCGACTGGTAGGCTGGTAGGTGTTTTTGTCACTGTGCAAGGAGGTCTCTTCCTTGAGCTCCCAGTCTGGGGTCAGCGATTTAGGTTGAGGGCTTTGGAAACAACCTTCTTCTGATGACTATGGCCCTAGATTGTTTGGCTATAGTGACTATATCAGATGAATGGCTATGTGCTGGGGTCGTCTAAAGTGCTACCAAAACGATTATAAGTTAATAGGGAATTCTGAGCTTCTACCTAACAGGTCTTGTAAACAAAAATTAGCCAAACTTTGAGGGAGAGGGTACCATCGTACGGCTTGGGTTGAGGGGGCACTCGCTGGGCACCAATTCAATACAAAGCCTGAAAATGGAATCTAATGTTTGGGTCGGACAAACAAATGGCGACGTCAGACCTCTATAGAAAGATGTTGAGAACCTTGGTAAGCTTCAAGGTTACGGGGATGATGCAGAAAATCTGGCTTTGATTGCAGCAGGCTTACTTTTTGTGTTTCTATCGATTTTTCGGTATTTTCGTACAAGGTGTTTAAAATATGTACAGACTATGCAAAACAAATCTACTTGCCAAGTATGCCCCAACCCCTAACCTCAAACCCATAAGCCTTAATAAGCAACCATCATCTGCAGGGCCTTGAGATAGGTCATGTGGCTTCAAACCAACTGAAGGGTTAACGCGAGTCGTACCTCAAAACATGCGCGGGAGTGTGGCAGAAACAAGATTTGGAGAGGTAGAAACAGGGATCGCGAACAACATGTGAACGTTTTGGTGGGGACACTATTTCCGGAGGTGCAATTACCGGTTTGGCTTCTGAGGTGGGTTTTGGAGGGGGGTGGCTTGAATTTCTCTGTATGTATATTTATGTTTATATTAATACTGATATTGACGTATCTCTATGTATACTTGCATATATCTGCATATCTATCCATATCAAAATCTGTATGTACATATATATATATAGATGCATTTCTCTTTATGTGTTTTTTATTATATATATATATGTATATATATATATACAGGGATTCATATGGCATCATCATGTCCGCGGGCATATGCCGCAGACGCCGAGAAGCACATGGTGCGAACGGCATGGCTAGCGCGAGGGGATGCGCACAGCAGCAAAAGCAGCCATGTGCAAAGCAGGTCAGGAAGCTTTGAGCCTTTCTTCGGCCCATGCCTGCACGAAGGGCATGGGGCCTGCAGGCGAGCCAAGGACGACTAGGCTTCGTTGAGCGTCGGCCTTGTCGCCTCGCCACACGTCTTTCGCCCAGTTTCGCTTTTCCAAGCGGAGCTGGGCCTGCCTCGGCAGCGATGATCCGGATCTTGCTAAGAAATGCCACCTCACCGGTCTTCAACAGTGCGCACCGTCGCGTCAAGTCAAGGGCGGCTCTCGCCGCGGGACGGCGTCGTGACATATCGTGACCACGTAGAGGTCCGGGAAAGCGAGATGGCTGTCGCCGGGATGTAGCGCATCCCGAAAGTCCGTGCAAAGCTCGCGCAACAGAATCAGCTCACCGTCGATGTTGATAGCGCCGTAAACAAGAAGAGCGAGAAGGCTCTAGCGGCAAAAAGGCGGGTGTCGAAGGCAACCAGTGTGGACCGCTGAAGGGTAATGGCAATAAAGAGGCATGCTACGCAACGCGGCGTTAAGAAAAGCTTTACTTTTCCTCGCGGTGAGAGCAAATTTAGCCATACTTTTTGCCCAACTCTATTCGATATCCAGTTTCCCTCAGCGGGGACGAGGGCGGCTGGGCGTATCCATATGCCACTTCCACCCTCCAGGCACCTCCCAAACAAGCCATCTTGCCCTCAAACTCTTCTAAGGGGGCATGAGAAGCTCAGCTCTTTCGGTTGGCGTTCGAACGCCTTGTCGAAATCACTGTGCCGTATCCACAGAGTCCCACGGCCCAGAGGGCCACAGGTGTGGGGTGCTTCACTCTCTTCGTGATAGGTGCTCCGGCACACTGTTTCTGAAGGATGGGAAGATGACGACGCAATAATGGCATCATAAACAGGTGCCTCGTGAAGACAACGCAGAGTCAACGAAATTCGCAAAGCGAGTGAACCGTTAGCTGCAGCGACAGACTGAGCGATCACGTGGCGGCGGAAACAACACACCTTTTTCGGGTGGTGTGTTGCAATCGGGCGGCTTGGGCTCAACCAGCCTTTGGAGAAGACCACGGCAATGTCTAGCGACAGCGGCTGTGAGACAAATGACCTGCTTCATAAAGACCTGTAATGCTTCTACTTACACGGCTCTGGATTTTTTTCTGCGATACCTTTGTTTGTGCTTTGCAAATCCGGAAGATCCTGATGTGGTGCGTTGATTTCGCAAAGGCAAAATAAAGGTTCGATACAGCCTTATTCTTCAGGTACGTTACATGCCATGCTTCGAAGCTAAAACCTGAAGTCACTCAAAAAGCTGCATTATGCCAGACTGTTTCACGTTTCTTGAGCGACTTGTGTAGTTGTTGAGACTTGCGTCGCCCTTGAGATGCCTGACGTAGGATTTCTCACGCAAACCCGCTGATGCGCATCAGCCATGAGTGCTTCTTGAAAGGAGGTGTCTCAATCTATATGAGACTTAAGCACTATCACTATCACTACCCAAGCTGTTCGGAGCCATTTGTGATTCGTGTGTCACCCTCCTCTGCACAGCCGCAAGGAGCAACCCAATCATTGACGACTCTTGACGGAGCCGCAGTGACATCTTCCCACATCTTTTTGGGGTCACGGCTCGTCGGCCTTCTTACTCGCACACTTGCCTTCCCGCACACTCCGTTTGGATTGTGCTGCCCCGTGGTTTCACATCAAGGGCTCAGGCTTTGTGTCAGCTGTGCATTAACGCTGGCTTTTTCGCCACGATGTTGTCCGGGACAGCAGCAGCTGTGACATGGCAGCAGGATCACCCGCGCCTGCCTGCACCTGCCTCTCTGTGGCGGGGTTCTGCCGCACAGCAGCGGCGGAATTGTGCACACGTGCAGTTTGGCTGAGATCGAAGGGCACATGGTTCTGGGCACTCGGCTTCGCAGGATTTAGCAACTCCCTCTTTGCAGCCAGCCGCTCCAACCTCTGCCCAGCATCCTCGTAGAGGCAACGTGATCGCTGCGCCGCAACTTCGGCTGCCAAGTTGCCGGAATATGTTCCGTGCACGAATGCCTCGGAAAGTTCCCGTGCTTCTGCGGCCAGGTGCATTTGTTCCTTGGCATAAAGCCGCTGACCTCGTTGCATCGCATCTTGGTACAGTCGATCATACGCAGTCCCGTCATCTTCGCCCTTATGCAACGAATGTGTCTTCATCCAACGTTCTTCCTCCATCTCCTGCATGGGCGTGGAAGTAAACTGAAACCAAGACGAAAGGACTGGAAACAGCGCACAGCCATGCACAGCTGCCCTATCGCCTGCAAAAGTCGACGCTGTTGCAGTCGCTCTGACTGGCGTTGTGCAGAAGCATAAAGCTGCTCCCATCGCGGCTCCACTGTGGGCACCTGCGGTGACATCCTGCAGATGTTAGACTCTTGCTTCAACCAGGAAGCTTCTGTCTTGCCGCTTCCGCCCTCTCCGCCCTTGCGCTGCTCGTACAATCGTTGACCTGCAGCCTGTGCTTCAGCTGCAGACCGCAGGCAGACCTGGATGGTTGCGGAGGTGTTGTAGCAGTGTTGCAGAATGTGGCAGATCTCAGGATCTTGAGCTCTTCATCGTGGAAAATCGTGGTCCAGTGCTGCCAAGAAGCAGTTCTGCTTTGTAGCGCCTGGGCACGCTCCTGCTCTTCTTCTTCAGCAGCGGCTGCACGCTCCTCACTAGCGATGACAATTGACACATCTAAAAATCATCTAAAGCTCTCCAGGATTGTCCTTCAAGTCGTGCAGCCTCCGGTTGTGATGCTCATGCAAGCGATCGAAGACCTTGCAACAGAGCTTTTAGATGGCCTACTTGCCTGAGTTTGCATTGCCGCAGCTGCGACTTGGGAATCCCAGAGTGCATTCAAACAACTCGATCCTATCACCGAGTGTAGAACAGTGGCGGAGCTCGACTTGAAAGACCGCCCGGTGGCTCCCTGCACGATGCAAGCTGTAAGCTTACGCTGCCGCCAGGCCGTTCGAAAGCCATGTTGTTGAGCCTGTGAGCACGCTGCTCGCTGCAGCCTGCGCAGGGCACCCTGTGGAATCCATGACTTTCGGATACTGTCAGCACATAGCATGCGCTGAGCATCCAGGCTTCTTCTCGCTGCGCACCGGGGTCTCTGCCTAAGACACAGATTGCTCCAACTGCTGCTCCTGAACCAAACCCCTGCCATGCTGCACGACATTCAAGATGTCGCAAGTTTCGATCCATGCCGCAGGAATCGCTTGATGCTATCCTCTGATCAGTGACCCCCCAGTGTCCAAAGAACTGTCCGTCCCCCATGAACTTTGTTATTTTGTATCCCAAAACATTATTCGTGATGGCCGTAGTCGTCCCGGCACCAAAACTATCCTGCCATTGGGATCCAGTGAATGGTTTTGCGTTATACGTTGCAGAATTGATGGCATGCCCTCCGCTCTACTGATATCCAGGGACCCTGATTTCATCTCAAAACGTCAGGCTATCCAGCCGCAAGGCTTCCCTGCAAATCCCTGCAGCTCCATGCTCAGATGGCTCAGACTCTGACCGAATCATTTCGGGGTCCCTGCTCCAAAACTATCCCACAGAAAACTTGACATGCGGGGAGGGCAGGTGGTTACCGAAACAAAACGCAGGCTGCTTATCACCACACTAGTCGGACTGGAACTGGAGGGGAAGAGATGTGACGTGAACATACCCGAACTGTTTTCTCTTATGATTATGTTTGCAGAACACGGGCCTTCTTTGCTTCCTTTCGCGGGGTGTGCGCATTCACAGGACTCGGGCTTCTGTGAGCCGGCCGATGCTTTGCAGCCTCCAACAGCCAATGTCTCACCATGCAACGACACATCTTCCCCCCGGTGACCTGCTTGGCTTTGCCGCTTCGCTGGCTCTGCGCACGCCGAGGTGACGTTGACGTACTCGGGCTGGCACTCCGGCTGCGAGCCTTCTGCGACTCAGCCTGAAGATCCAGCTTCTGTGATATCTCGCAAGCTGTCTCAAGGAAACATGCTTCACGAAAGCTGCCTCTTTTCGAGGGCGCTGCACCAGGCGCAGCGACACACTGGGGCTATGGCTTCGGCTGTCCTGCTGTCGCTTTTACAGCTGATCAAGCCAAGTTACGAAAAAACGAACAGTCAACCACTTGATTGAAGTGCCTGCTTCTCTCTGGATTGCTTGTCGGCAATTCGTAGTGATCTGTTGGATCTCGCAGTTGTGCTGCTAGCCAAAGCACCAGTTGCCTGTGCACGATCACGTCTGCATCTGTCTGCAGCTGAGCACAGACTGCAGACAAGCAAAGCAGCAAAGCAAGACAGCTCGTCAGATGCAGAGGCTCCCTGCAAAATCACACAGCCAGGCGCCTGCTTTCCTTCCCTTGCTTGAGGGTGCGTTGCGCCGCGCGAGGATCTGCTGGGGCTGGGACTTCGGCTGTTGCTAGCCTGCTTCAGCTTCGATTCTTCGCTGGCCTGCACAACGAACCCAAGATGAGCCGCTGGCTTGAAGTCTTACTTCATGTTCATCTCTTTCTCCCCCAAGGAATAGTTTCGCCCTCTTGTGGTTGGCAATCACGGGCACAATACTGGAATGCACAGGCACACTCTGCCGTTGTTCCCATTATTCCAGAATGTGTCAATCGTCTCGGAAAGAAGCTCGTGTCATTCCTCCGGAACTGTATTGTCTCCACCGTGCCCAAACAATCACTAACGGGCCTGGCGCAGGTCGATCCTGTCCGCTTTCTCAATCCTCGTTATAGATTCGCAGTCCTTCTCCCCTGTCCTGCAGAAGCCCATCAAAATCCATGAAACAAACCTTGGTAGTATCTGCCGTATCTGCTCTTGAACCACGCACGCCGACATTCACTGCAACATGCGCCGACTCCGCCGACTCGCCACGATCGCCACGGTGCTCGGACATCATACCGAACTTTTTCTCAGCCCTTGAAGCCTTGCTCTCACTTGGACAAACACACATCCTCGCCTAACTCCTGCCCTGCCGCGCGCAGATGTTGGCGGGCAGAGATGACAGCTTGGACTCAAAACACAGTGACCCCACCTCGGGGATTTCGACTTGGGCCTGGTGGCGATGGCACTAGCCACCCTGAGCATCTCCGAACCTGATGCACCATGCAAAGTGCATCAGGATGCATCATCACGGCATATCACGGCCAAAGGGAAGGGCATAGTGTTGATGACTAGTGCCAGGCAGCGCTGCGCAAGGAGACGGTCACGTTCAGCGCGGAGGCTGAGTAGATCGTTGCCCGTCCGCATGACGGCACCGGCGCCCTTCTCGGCTCGGCGCGCAGCCTGGACCACCTGTGCCCACAGGAGCCAGGGGGGACATGCGGAAACGATGAATCTTGCAAACAACTACCACAACCACAACCACCGCCACCGCCATCGCAGCCGCAACCTTTGCCGCCACCACCAGAACAACAACAGCAACAGCAGCTGTAACCACAGTCACTACCACCACCACCACCACCACCACCAAAACCACCACCACCACCACCACCACCACCACCACCACCACCACGTGACAACGACCAAGGACAACCACAACCACAACCACCATAACAGCATCAACGGCAACGGCAACAGCACCTGCATCAGCAGCAGCAGCAGCAGCAGCAATGGCAATAGCAATAGCAATAGCAGCAGCAATAGCAACAGCAACGGCAACAGCAACAAGGAGCAGCAGCAGCAGCAGCCGCCGCCACAGCCAAAGCCACATCCACACCCGCAGCCCCCACCGCCGCCACCGCCGCCACCGCCACCGCCCGGACATCTGCGACCGGGACGATGCGACGTCAAAAACACACCACATCAACTGCAATTCAACTCCGAACCAGCCAATTAATTACAATACTCTGACCCTTTCCCCACCATCTCTGCAAAAACCAAAGACCAAGGTAGTGCGAAGGTGCAGTCTGGAATCCAACACGGCGGAAAAGCCACCAGCCTGCCGCGGCGGTTGCGTGCCAAATCGCATCGGAGGATGGAATGCCCCGTCTCCACAGCCTTATTTCAACCATAATGCTGCATACCACTGTCAGGGGTGGCAAATACACTCATGCTGCTGCCAGGAGTGTAAACCTGGGACCGGCGCTTGGCTTCGGAGGTGCGCTTGGCAAACATGCGAGCTCGCGTCTTAGCAAGAAGACCTGTCTAAGCGGCATTGGGCACAGGATGTGAGGAAAGGTCAGACTTTGCCGTCCGGCGACTCAACCTTCGATGATCTGGCCTCGTTTCGCAAGTAGAACAGCTCCTGGTCCTCCGGAAGCCACGTTTTCACTTCCTGCACAAGCCGCGTTCCACAGGCCCCAAGTTTCTGTAAGTTGGCAGGTCCCCGGACAGCTAGCCGAATTAGCTATGCAAGTAAACGCCAGGAGGGATCTTTGCACTTTCCCAATCTAGCAAGCTTACGACAGTAGGACATCTGCCTGTGAGAACCTGATCAGTCTGCAGTCAAACTGCCTTTGCGCTTGTCTTGTCGACGAACACAAAGGACGTTGATGGGATTTCACTGCCGGCCTCGTCGGCAGCGGTCTCAGAGACTGCCTTCACGCCCACCTGCAGGAAAGATTGCTTGCAGGCACAGGCTGCTTCCTCAGCCCGTCACGCAAGCTGTCAGTGCCGTTGCGCACGGCCGCGCTTGTGCAGCGAAGGATCGAAGGTCTGGGATACGCATGAATCCTGAGCATCACAAATCCCACCGGTCCTTTCCAACGAATCTGTGATTGTCCAGAAACGAAGACGAATACTACGTAGGACGCGGGTCGCAACGAGACGTCGGATGCGTCTGAGAGTCGATACTCCTGGGCCACGACTCGGATGCGAGAGCGTCCGTCCAAGAGAAGATACGAGGGTGCAAGGAAACACAACTGTTACGAGGATCGCGGCCCGAACACCAAAGTACAACCAACGACATCATTTGAACAAGTGCCATTTGATCATTTGCGAAGCCATGAGATGTACTTTCATCACACGCATCACGTGGCTGCCACGGAGAAACCGTAGTGAGCACTTCCCACCCATGCCGCCAAAGAGCGTGGCCTGGACGAAGCCCACACCCATGCAATATGTGGAGAGCGAGAGGGGGAGGGGGATGCCATGTTGTTGGCTGATTCTTGTACTCGATCGAATCTTGTCCATTAACAGCTCAGCAGACCACGTACGAAGGTGAAATGACATAGCTTCGAATACTTTGAACACGACACGTTCCAATCTGTAGTGGGTCGTATCTGAGCAACATGTTGTTCATCGCCTGGGACATCGAACTGACAGCATGTTAAAAATGAACAGTAGCAGTACGTCTGAGAGCTTCCTAAAAAGTTCCGCATACCTATGTCGAGAATATGGAAGGTACCAACATTTTACAGTAAGTTTGCTTCGACTCTGGAGCAAGTTGACAGGAAGAGGTTTTGCATCTCCAGTCGGCTGCTTCTGGCAAGAGACATAGAAGGTAGGCGGAGGAATCATCTCTGTATCGCAAGCTGTTTTTGGTGTTTCGGCTAATGCTGATTTTTGAAGCTCCGTTTGCACAAACTCATCATCCCAGTCTTGGAAATCCCGGAACAGAAGGACATGCACGCGGTCCGTCGCAGCATCGGAAAGGAGCTCGTTCCAGGTGCCATCGTCTTCTCACACTCTCTAAAGCTCTTCTCTCTCTCTGAGAAACTCATGTTCGCAACTCTTTTGACCGAAGCTCTGATTGTCCCAGTCTCGTGCAGGCTCATCTTCGCTACCCCGTGATTCGTGAAGCTGCTTTGCTTGAAGGGCTAAGTTCGTCTTCGCTTTGCCTCTCTGTGCCCCTTGCAGGTTCTCGGGCGCTGTGGCTTTCATTCATGTGGCCGAAGGATTGCATCTGCATGGCCGTGTCGGAGGAGCTTCGTGTCAATCAAAGACTTCGACAAGCGACATACGACATATCACAATAAAAGCACGGGAAGGCCTGCCTTCGCCTGGTAAAGCCGTTCCCACGGAGCCGGGGGTGCCGGGGCCGACGCTTTGGCTTTCGGATCACCTCAGGGTGAGGCCCGTGTTTACGCCTCGAAAAAGAAACCCCGCACCTGTCTCCAGCTTGTCCGGGGCGTCCGGTCTCCGTGCCAGCGTTGCCATACTCGGCTCATCAGGCTTTACCTATCAGAGTTGGGCTAGGCCCCACCAGCTTGGGAAATCACACCGCCGTCGCCCAACGATAGTTCAATATAGACTATACCCCACGACAACTTACCATCAAGAATAGTGCATAATTTATGTATCCTGCTTGATGGTGATGTAACTCCCAAAATGGGCAAGCCCAGGCTTGTTCATTTTATGGTTCATAGACGTTTTTGACCATATTTGATTGCCAGATTGAACTAATTGTGATGCCCTGTTTGATCATATGCACCATGTTTGCCCCGATTGCCCCAAGTGTTGTAGCCAAGTTGACTGTTTTGTGACCAGGAATGACAAATACCAGTACAATGGAAAAATAACACATTCGAGTAACCTTGCACCAGGTATGCATACACTGCATGCAGTGGAAATGGCTTTTCTCGTTTGGATACGTTCTTATTTCGACCACATCTTTATTGTGGTTATTTACATCCTTTGACTAGCTGCTGTTAGCTTACATTCTCCCCATTTCATCTCAGCTGATTTTGGCATGGCTTTCCAAGTATGCAAATAGATCAAGATGCTGTCAGTGATCATATGTCTCTACATTCTGAACATTGTCATAGTCACCAAAGCTTTTGCATATACCTTGAGTTAACTTTCAGCACAATACCCTGCGAATGTCCTCGCACTTCCGACAATGAGGCCTTCAAAACGTTTCTACGATGAAGTATGAAGCCTCGTGGCATGTGTATCGGGTGATAGCACCTGAACATTCTCTAAGACTCTATGCCATACCAACTAAGCACTTCTTTCTCCGACAGTTTTTGCATTTGTTGGCTGCCTTCTTTTGTTTACTTAATACACTACAACTGTACAATCAGCGAACTCAACCATGATAGGTCGGTGAGTATGTCTTGGTCTCCTTGTCACAGTTTATATTTTTACTGCTCAGGGGTGCTGCCTTTGGCTGAACTTGTTCGAACAAGTGCCTGGTCTGTTGTCATACGGTGCGCCTTTATCGGCTGGCGGTCCGTCAAAATTCAAAAGTCATGTGAGTTCCGCAATTCAATCCGTGTCAGTTCTCTCGAGTGCTTAAAGGACATCTTCTAAAAACGTGCTTGCGTTGCTCATATACGATACTATATGAGTCTTGTGCATTACAACTTTTGAGTGAGTAACAATTGATTAACACCCACCAGATGTTTACGCAACTAAAAGAAAATCCAAATCATTATGGAAGCGTGTTCAATTAATTCCCAAATTTCTCAAGTAACCCAGAACTTCTTTGGCATCCTTTCGTTCAGGTTCACACCAACTCTACCTTGCCAACAAAAGCTTCAATGCAACACCGGTTAATACATTCATTGCCCAAACATCTGTCCCTTTAATGCTACTAAATCGTTCTTGCTACTTCCCGGTCCGTTTCACAAGTCATGTAGATCGCAACAAGCGTCGCATAGGGGCTACTTGATGGGGCGCTGTACTGGCCCTTCAAGAACAGGCTCTGTCAATGCACTGTACCGACTTTCGTCCTAAAAAGCACTATCAACTAGACAGAAATCCAGCATGGAATCGCAGCACTGACGATACTGACTGATGCGGGGAAATAGTTTGCGCCGTTTGCTCAATTCATTTATGGCTTGAAGACATAATATGTATGTTCTGTTATCATGCCTTTGAAAGGTAATGCATTTTTTCGGCCTACTGTTCACCATTAACAATGAGTGACAAACCGTTAAATCACTATCAAGTTCGGGAAACCGTAAGCACGAAATGATCCATCCTGCGAGCAAGCATGCTAGCAGTTGCTCCAACGACACGCTGTAACAGATAGCTTTTAACATTATATACAAGAATATGTGAAATATTTACAAGGGTGGCTTTGAGACGTCATGTATATATACTGTCCTAGTGTGGATGTAGATGATATGCGGAAAGCCAATACTACAATCCGAAGATAACAAAAGATTAGACTGAGCGAGTGTTGGAGGTTGAGGCGTTGATGGCAAGTGAATAGATTGGGGTGACTGCCCTGGAAAATGTGCAAAAGCGATTGACTGCACTAGCTGGCGAAATGGTTCTCCCTCCAATGAAGAGCTGTGATACGGCGGTGCAAAGGCGGGGGAGTCGTCTCTGTGAAATGGGGGTGGACATCTATGTAACTCGCGTGGCCCTCGACACCCGTGCAAAACGCGGGCTGACGTCGCCGCTTTGTGTGAAAAATCAAGTTCTGCTGCTGGAGTGTCGATTGCGCGCCATCTGCGACACCTCAGGCTGGTGTGCCTGTGCTGTGATCACCTTCTTGCTTGCCGCTTTTTCGCTTGTGTCAGAGGACCATCAATGAAGCCATTTAGTAGATGTGAAGCTCTTTTCTTGATTAAGAGCGTCCCTTGAAGCTCTTGAAGCAGGGGAGCACCGTTTGAGAAAAATGCGCAAACGGCAGATCCTTCTGGGTTCTGAGTTGCAAAGGGACAGGAGAGACGGAGTGGCCTCCACCTCGGTTGAGGAGTTCCACCTGCCACATGCAACTCACATGCAGAGCTCACATGCAACGCACGTGCAACGCACGTGCAACGCACATGTCACTGTGTGTTGGGGACTTTGCACTTCGCCTGCAGCCTGGCCCAGGCGGCCCAGGCTCGGAGCTGCCTGGCCGTGGAAAATAACTGCGCGACTCGGGTTTTGGTGAGTTCCGAGGAAGGTGCTGGCGCCTCTGGGCTTCACTGCCGTTTTCTCCCGCTTGGCCTAGCTACGCGTGAACACAACACCCTTCCAATTCAAGACTATACCTTAGCGCCTGCTTCTGTGCAGCACGCGCTTCCAGGCTATTGCCACGCTTCTGCAATTTCTCGCTGGCATGGCTCCGTGGCTTTCTTTTGGGCTGCCCAGTGCTGGTCGCTGGTGGCTCCGACGTTACGTCCTGCTGACAAGCAACGAATGGTCCGAACACAGCAGGACTGGCAGCTGCACTGGTCCTGTGCTTGCACGGCCAACGCATCGAAAGCTGGAGAAGAGCATCTATCTGCCCCCTTTATTCTGTGCTCCTCACTCTTACACGCCGCATGCTCGGACAGTGCTTCATGTTGGGCTGCCTCCTCCATTCTGCGCCCTTCAGTCCCCGACTGAAAACTGCCTAATGTCCGCTGTGCGCGCTGCTCTGACACCTCCTCGACCAGGTTCTCGGCATTTGGGGCAGTGCCTGCTGCACGTCCTGTGTCTTGATGCTCCTGCTCATTCTCATCAACATCCGGGTGCAAGGCTTCGTCTTGGGCTGCAGCTTCTTCCGTTCCGCGCTCCTCTGTCCCCGACTGCAGGCTACTTGACTTCCGCTTTGCCTCATGCTCTGACAGTGCCTCATTTTGGGCTGCCTCCTCCTTTCCGCGCCCTTCGGTCCCCGACTGCAAACTGCCTGATGTCCGCTGTGCCCGCTGCTCTGACACCTCCTCGACCAGGTTCTCGGCATTTGGGGCAGTGCCTGCTGCACGTCCTGCATCTTGATGCTCCTGCTCATTCTCATCAACATCCGGGTGCAAGGCTTCGTCTTGGGCTGCAGCTTCTTCCGTTCCGCGCTCCTCTGTCCCCGACTGCAGGCTACTTGACTTCCGCTTTGCCTCATGCTCTGACAGTGCCTCATTTTGGGCTGCCTCCTCCTTTCCGTGCCCTTCGGTCCCCGACTGAAAACTGCCCGACGTCCGCTGTGCCCGGTGCTCTGACAACTCCTCGACCAGGTTCTCCGCATTTGGGGCAGTGCCTGCTGCACGTCCTGTGTCCTGAGGCTGCGTCCGGCCAGCATCTGCTTCGGATGGACCATCACTATCGAAATCTTCTCGTCTGCTCATGAACCGGAACCGTGGGAAGAGCCCGTCATCAGGCCGTCTTGGAGTGTCAGGATCTGATGGCTCACAGACAATGCATCAAGGCTCCGCTCATGACTGGCACGCCTTGAGTGCATTGCTGGAAGCCATCGTGCACTCGCAAAGACATGGATTCGGAGAATGGATGCAACCCGCACACAACCTACTGTTTACAAATATACACAATCGATTGACTGGCAAGTTCCCGCTGCATGAAAGCTTCTGCAACAACAACTGCAGAGCATGGAAGAACTGCTTGAATTCGATGCACCGTGACGAAACCGTATCAGAAGATGCCGGACGTCTTCTGACTGGCATAAGTTGATAAGGAACGTGGGCCGTGCATGTGCATGGGAACCCGACTTCCATTTTCGCTTCCGCGATGCCACTCTGCCACGTTGAAGAGATTGACCCACTTTTGGCTTATCTGCTCGTTAACCTGTCACGGCTTTGCTGCATCTTGAAGACTCGGCGCTGGTCCCTGTGTTCAAACAAGCAGCTCTTGGAATCAAAGGTGATGACCGCGAGCAGACATCCCAGTGCATAGACGGCGTCGACGCCTGCCTTTACCTCGGGGCTCCGAGGTAGGCGACCACTCGTTGACAAGCCATGAAAACATGGAAGACGAGACTTATGTGACTACTTGCTGGCAAGAGTGGCTGTCAGCGACCTGAGCTTTTGTTATGGCACGTACTTCAAGGTGTTGCATCTTCTGCAAACGTGGCAGCATGTGGCGGCGAAGGGCCATGTCATGTCAGCAGTTGCATCTGGGTCACAGAGATGTCTGACCATGTCCTTACGGGGGCAGGACCGCACCCCTAACTTTGACCCGAGCTCAACTTCGCCTCAACAAACGACGGCAAGTCATGGATAGTCCTACGGAACAACATGGCGAGGCACACGATGCCTGCACGCAACACAAACCCCGGAAGACCGATCCCGCGAACGATAACTATGCCAGCAAGTGCGGACACCTGCAGGAGGCCATGTCCGCGACAAACCCGGGCTTAAGTTCTCTCTCACTCCTCAGCGGGCAGACAGAAACACCAGGTACCGAGTCAAGACGCCCACAGCAGCTATCGCCACAAGCCGCCCAGAAGGCAGCAGGCCCAGCTCCACGCGTCCCGAGGAAGTCGCAACCAGCAAATCCTTCCCACTTTTCGGGCTGTGTCTCGAAAGCTTGGGGCTAAGGCGGCTAAGGGCCGGTTCTGAGGCCGCTGCTGGCTTTGCTCCCTTGCGCTGCAGCAAGAGGCGACGCCGAGACTCGCTCCCTGCGTGCTCTGCGCATCTATGAGCATCCGCTTAGATCCGCTTGCAGTGAGCTCTTCTGTGCCTCCGAGCGGTGCAGGTTCCAAGGTTCCAAGATACTCTCTTGCGGCATCTGCCCCATGGCATTCGTAACACAGTTCACAAGCTGCACAGAGCTTCTGCACAGAGCTTCGCGCATCCTTCTCGAATTCGACCCTTCCAAAGCACCAGGTCCGAGGTGATCGTCAAAAGGATGCGCCCTTAACGCTCATGCTGCAGGATTCTCTATGATTCTCTGAGAAGTGCACTGGGCCTGCCTCCCTCAGCTCCTTTGCATCCAGGCTCCTGCGAAGGTCACCGTACAGGGCAAACACAAACTCAGAGAGAGACACTCTCAGCCCTGCGATAGAGGTACATCTGCGGAACCGAGAAGGCAAAACGAGCAAAAGAGGTTCCCCTTCACTTCTCCTGCTCTCGCAGCTCCAATGTGCGAGTCGATCCTGGACACACACACACACACACACCCAATGAACATCTGATAACATCTGTGTGAGGATAGATGCAAACCGCGTCTGCAACATCCTCAGGTCTAGTGAGGTGCGAGACCATTGTTTCCGAAGTCGAAGGATCGGAACCATGGCTGCCAAGCCTTCGAGATGCAGATTGGCGGTCAGTAGACGAGTCGGTGGCCCCCTGCCAGGTTCCGGGAAGAGACGGCTCAGCCCTTTTGAAGCCAGCAAAACCTGCCAGAGCCCAGAGGTCCTCAGCGCAAGAGAGGCCCCGAGACCGAGCACGTCGCAACTCTGTTCTGTGATCGGCAGCGCGACAGACAAGCGGGCTCCTGTCGGCGAGGTGCCGGGGTGCCGGACCGAGCGCAAGGTACAAATGGCTTGAGAGTAGGGCTGCAGCTCCCTCCGCTACTTCCCAAACGTGGAAGATTTCCACAACCCGCGCCAAGTAATCTCTGCTTTTCAACACAGTGATGTTGAGGGCAGGGGAACGCGCAAGCAGTGCGAGGGAAACTTTCGTAAACTCCCGCACGCTCTAGCTTCCCTGACATGCGACAGGAGAAGCCATGTGCATTTCGTGGCTGTTCAGTCCGACTTGTCTGTCCTTGTGCCGCTTTCATGTAAGGCGGGCAGATCCCAGGCAAGTTCGTAGGCAAACCTCACAGAGAGATCGGCCAAAACTTTGTTCAACTCACTCCAAATCCGTTGTGGTATCGCATTGTCTGGCAAAACAGCAAGACCTGCACATCTTGCTTGAATGACGATTTGATCCTTGCTCAGGCTGACGGAGAACCTTGAAGAGAGGTCTCGGGACAGTCTTCTGCCGAAAGCCGATCCTCTGTGCTCAACAACTTGTCAATGGCAATGGGTGGATGCTGTTGAAGGGACCTCAAACTCAGGAGACCATCTGCAAAAATGCACGATCAAACTGCCCATAAGTGCCAATGTCAAGACACTCGATCTTCTGGCATTTGCTCTCATCTGGCTCCGGTTCCTCCGCAACGGCAAAAGCTGCGGATGCCCCCTCTGCTGCTGCGCATCGGATGTGTTTTTGTGCTTGGATTACTTCAGTGTGGCGTGTGCCTGAGAGTGTGTCAGCTTACCTTTGCCAGATCTTGGGAAGATCAGCTTTGAAGTTGAAATCCTCTGATCACTAGCCCGGTTCTTCGGCTCCGGTGGCAAACTCAGCCATCTGCAAGTTCGGCTCCTGCTACCACGCATACGACTGTGTTCGTGGTCCTGACCCTCACTGCAACTTCTGTGGTTTGTTGTTCACGTAGGCCCAGGCGGTTCCAATTCCCACCTGCTTCCAAAGAAGCAGCTCCATCTATGTCGATGTACATTCAGACAATCATGAGGTGAGCAGGCAATCACGATGCGTCTCTGTCGCAGTAACCACTTTCTGTTGCAGTTCGTGATACTTGTGTAAGTACCATTTTGCTGTCACCAACACAACCACAACATCAGTTGTCTGCGCACCCAGCTCGGTCCCAAATTGCAGCTGCGCCTGCATTGATAGCAAAAGCGACACTTAAACGATTCCGCGTTCGCGCGAATCCATCCCCTTGGATCCTGTGACGACAAGTTCCACAAACATGTCGTTCTCCAAGTTGCTCGGTTGATGGAAAAATCTGACATGACCTATCTCCCGACAGGGATGCAGAATTATGGTTTTTGTTAGCTCACGAAGATTATCTTCTGGCTCCTTCCTGTCAGTGCCTGCAATCTCCGTCCCAGTATGAAGGATGAAAGTTTGGCTGGCAGGCTGGCTGGCGGGCGCGTGGGACGGAGAACCTACGACCAGTTGCTGACACATCCCCCTGAACACTAAGAAGCCATCTCAAGGAGGTGCCATAAGAATGAAACCTGGAGAAGTTTGGAGTTTCGGAGTGGAGCATCAAGGCAGAGGCTGGCAAGGGCTGGCCATCACTGCCTTAGGATCTGGAACTTTTGGGTATGGCTCTCTGTCTCTTGCTTCCTGAAGACGAGGCAGCGAGTGTGACCTGAACGTCTCTTGGGCTCACACGGGATCTGCCACATCCACCACCCTCCACAGAGCCATGGCGATGACGGCAACGAGAAAGAAGAGCATCTGCAGTGCAGCACATGTCTCTCTAGCCGTACCAGACTGGAGATCGCTTTAGACGCGGCGCCATCAGTGCACGCATCGCTGCTAGGGTGAGGAAGCCATCGAAGCGGAAAGCTGTCCAGACATCCGCCTTTCCGAGTTTCCGAGGCTGCTTCGTTTACTGCACTGCCCCCTGTATCCCCCTGCACCAGTTGAGCAAAGTTTGGTATGCATGCAATACCTAACGTCCGCGGCTAGTCATGCCGTACCATGTGGCATGAAGCATCAACATGCCTTCAGAACTGTCCAATCTGCATAGCCTGGCCTGCACGGCATCTCTGGGTATCACAGAATCACGAAGTGTCTCAGCAATGACCTCCCGACACAGCACCTGGAAGCGGCTTCGTAGAACTCTTTGGGCATCTCGCAATTGCAAAGCAAACTTGCGCACAGGATTTGAGTGGAGGGCTGGCAAAGCTGGCATCCGCTGGAGCCTGTGACGGCAGAGAGATCGCAGCGGAATGCAATGTTCGAGATCTCACAGGTTGGCGAGCAATGACAGCGTCACTGAAGGTAGAATGCTGATCTCGCAGACTGTCAGTGCGCCAACCAGAGTGTCCAAGTAGTTTGGCAGGTCTGCAGCAGTTCAGGCCCAAGTTGCTAAATGAAGCCCCAAAGGGCCGCACATTGTGAGGGAGCAAGTCGCTCAAATTCTAAATCATGTCTCTTGCACGGGCAAGTGCTTGAATCGCAAGTCTTGCTTGTGAGCTCAACGCGCGGTTCGCTGTTCGTTCTTGCCCGGGGCCGCGAGTATAGGTTTTGCGACTACCTGAAGAGTTGTCCTGCGATTTTCTGACCCGCTACGAACTTATGTCCTGCTGGCCTTTTCGGAGAAAGGCTAAGATTTCCAGACCGCTCCAATCCTGCATGGTCTATACGGTATGACACTCTGTGCATATCACGCGTTGTGGCCCAAATGTCTTCGCAATCTTCACAGCTGTTTGGAATCTGAACATCCATGAACTTGTTTAAAGGCAAAGTTGGCACACTACGCTCAGCTCCTTCGGAAACCCAATGGGTGTGAGACGCGATCATCCAGAAGCAGAGCCAATGTGGGGGTTTTGGAAGCAAACCCTCGACCGTCCAAAAAAAGAGCCCATCTAAAGCACCCAAAGCATCCAATCGGATCATTCTCCGAGCTGCCTCCCGTGAAAGCGTCCTCTCGTCTGATCGGGCAAAGTCCTGCAAACGAAACTGCAGCAAATCGTCTCATCGGACCATGAACCGACATGTGAAATTGGAAAGGGCACACACACTCAGTATGTCTCCATCGACATATTTGCTTGAATATCTTATCTACATCTATATTTATGTCTATATCTGCATCATACATGTATAAACGTATATACCTATACCTGCATCGTTCTATATCTGTGTCCATAAAGCTCAGCCCACCTCGATCAGCTGGAAAATTCGATCCGGAGAGTTCAGCAGATCTCCAAACTTCCAATCGCTACATTTCGGGATTTGCATTGTGCAGCTTGATAAATCCTTGTATTCTTCCGCATAGTACTATCTGCAAGCAAAGAGTCTGGTTGTTTTTTTGGTCGCGTCAGCTTGCTACTTCAGAAACTGAGCCTCATGCACTATGTTTCGTTCCACAAGGTTGGCCTGTTCATAAGGTTGGCCCGTATATATCATCGTAACAAAACATTATCACCAGTGATCTCGAGTGCTCTTGCCACTAACTATCGACTTTTTCTTTGGCTAACGCAAGCAGGTGATTGATGTGCAAACGAATGGCCGACTCAATTGTTAAGACTAAACGAGCTGGTTTGTGCACACATACTTATGCCGAAGCCGAACAACGTAAACTGATCGTGATGCTGTGGCAATGGTTCGATTCGTTCAAGACAATCGTATCAAAAAAATATTGAGTGGTCTTGATCCTATTAAGTTTGTCGTGGCTGGATAAGCGCATGAACCAGAATTGGCGAGTGCAGCTATCGCAGCCTTGGACTTTCTTCGACTCACACAGCTTCATCGTTTCAAATGCAGGGCATTGGACCCACTTTGTCCATCCGAGAACGAAGCGAAATCAAGTGTTCGTCTACGCACTTTGTTGAACCGCATAGAGCCACTTCAACAAATCACATCTCTGAACAAAGTCTGATCGAACCTCTCATATCACGCAGCAAACACTCGAGATTGAAGCGACTGTTTCGTGAAGTTGGTGCCTATGCAGCTTCGGCCCTTTGTGACGGTAGACCTAGAGACGATCGCTTGAGTCAAGATGGAACAGGTTCGCGACTGCCCTGACGACAAAACGGATCTCTACATCCCTTGAAAATTTCCTCTGAAAACCATCAGCCTCTAGGTCCGTGATCATGGGCCTACAATAGGACCTGCAAACATGATGTGATTTGTTTGTATCCACCTGGTCGGTCTGCTGGTCAGTATTTGGAATCTAGAGTCTAGAGACACCAGAAATACAGAGGTGTTGACACAACAGAAACATCTACGATTTAAGCAATTAGAAACTCAACAAGATCTGCATCGCAGATAGCAGCGAAGCTATCTAGTCACTGGTTTAAGCGTTTGCAGCTGAGGGATTGTCCCAGGACCAGAGTAACAGCGAACCGGAGAAAGGGACGAGGGAAGAGAAACGCGACGACAAGGTGCCCGCAACAAGTGTCCCTCCATTGGTCCATCAATGAAGTCGCACAAGCACTAGAACACTTCAGATTTGAGGCGGACTCTGCCACGTGTCCGGGCGGGAAGGGTATTAAGCACCAGTCTATTCCGCCTACCCCCATGATCCCCCATGCCATGTCAGGCACTCGTGCCTCGAACTGCTGCCCGGCAAGTCTTTGCATCGACAGGCACTCTGGCTTTCGTTGATTCCCTTATTGATATTGCCGCTGTAGAACAATCTGTTCGAGAGGTACTTACAGACTACCACGTGCATATGCATGTCTACAAAAGAGTGCATGTGCTTGAGTTGTGACATGCAAGGTTGGTACGGTTTCCGCTTGAGACAACAGTCATTCCACGAATGACGTGCATTCGAATCCCCTCCTGGAGGCACTATCAGGAGCACGCTGAACGAGATACCCCCCTCCTTGCCATTGCTTGAGGCCCCTGAGGTTTGAGAATACCACTTCGCATGAATCCTGACCTCGATCTGAGCTACTCGCAGTCGCCGACCGTCTTCAACGTAATCATTGAATCTGGTGCTCCAAACAGCTCAGATGTGCAGAAATCACCCAGGAAAAAAGGCTTCGATGCGTAAGCCCTTGGAGTCCAAAGTAGCGTGCTGCCAGTGTGGCTCGGCACAGTCAAATCTACGGCCCTTTCAGAGCCACTACCACAGCATCACCTGGCCAAGAGAGCTCAATGTGGGTAAACTATCGAAAGCTTTCTCAGCCCAGCAGATTTCAAAACCCAGCAGCAGTCGCCTATGGCACTGGTCGACACAGCGTTGCTGCGCTGACTTTCTTCCAACAGGTCTCCTGTGAGCCTCCCTGACCTTAGTACCAATTCGATCTGGCAGACATCGCTATCGATGCTCATTCTGAGCTTTGTGCTTCAAGACTTCTTCGCAGGCAGCCTCAACGGCGGCTGCCTCTTTTTCGAGCTGGAAGGAATACCTCCAGACTTGGCTCGCTGGATCCGTCACGCACCACATCGCTCTTTGCTTTGCGTTGCTTGGGGTCAGACCGCGGGGCAGGCCCCCTAGCCCGCGCGTCAACGCAACCAGTCTCTCACTCTCTTTCTCTCTTTCTCTACGGGAGCAAGAGGGGGAAGCGGTCCGGCCCCCTCTCTGCGCGCGAACGCGCACCCGCGGATCACGGGGCGTCTATGCTCCCCCCACAGTTTGACTATGGAGGGCTTGACTGTAGAAAGGAGCTCCCCGCACGGTTTGAGTTGAAGACTAAACAACTGCACACCACGCAAACGCAGTAAAAGCTGAAGCTCCGACAAAGGAGAGGTTTATCGTGCTAGGGCTGGTTGTATGAAAACGGTTATTCCCGGCTGATTGTAACAAAGATGCAAGTGTCCATACAGTACTCAGGAATATGTAATGCTAAGGCAGGGACCAGAGCATCGGCAGGGGGATTCCACATGATTGGGGTTTCAAGGCAAAAACATGCATGTCCCCCCCTGCTACGTTTGAGCAGGCACTCGAAAGTATCACTGGTCTGGTCGGAAAGTTAATTGGGCCTTGACAGATCCCCCGATTATTCGTTGGCCAGACGAAGTTTCGAGCTTCAAGGGTGAGCTAAAAAGAGGTTAGGATTGAGGGCAAAGTGGCCCTATGGCACGGGTTGAACGGAGAGGGGCAAACGAGCCCTTGTAAAAAGTTCACACCTTAACAACTCTACTAAACCCCCTCATGAGGTACAGAGCGCTCCCCCAGGTGGTCCAAAACTGCACACGCTGGGTTGTAAGTCCCCCGGCTGCTTCACTTCCGTCGGTTGCTTTGCGAAGTCTCTCTTCTCTCACGGCTGCGTGTCATGTGCGCGGATCACTTTTATTGTGGCTCTTTCTCAGACCTATTGTGCACGTCCCTCCTCCGTACACTTCCCCCCCATGTAGGCATTCATCACTATGTCGCCGCACTGGAAGAGTCACGATATTTGACGTGATCGAGCCACCCGCCTAGTGTGCAGGTAGGTTCTGGTCGGCGTGCCAGGGAAGCTGTCGGCGAAGAGGATTGTTCTCTCCCCCGAATGAGTCTAGAGGAAGAGGTTCTTGCAGTGTCCAGGCACCCAGCAAGGAAGGACTCAAGCCCCCCCGCTCACAGGATCGTCCAGCCAATGGAGTTGCTGGGAACAACCAGCAAGCTCAGAGGACCGTCCTCGAGCGCCCCCAAACGAGGGGCGGGTTGACTTGTGACTTGAGCCAACATGGCTACGGAACCACGTCTTTGCTTTGCTTTGCTTTGCTTCGGGATTGAGGTGTGGGCAGGCCCCACACCCCGCGCTCCAGGCGCACCCCCTCCAACATGTTGTTGGTTGGGGTGTCTGTACGTGGTACGTTGGAGTGAAAACACGAATGGGGTGCACGCCACCGTGGGGGCAGGTTGAAGCACAGTTTGCGAACCACATAACAATGAGTGCCCCACGGTTACTCTTGTGGGTCCCCCACTCAGAAACCAGCCTTACCTGCCTGACCCTGCCTGTAGCCCGAACTGAAGCCTCAGCCCCGCAAGCACCGCCTCGACCTTCCACTCAACCCTTCACCTCTACTTTAGGGGGGGTGCCCAGCAAGCCTGCGAGTAACCACGACAAAGCTTCTTACAAACAGTATCAAACAGAAGGATACACCAAGTTGTTTGGCCAGCTGGTGCCCCTACGGCTCTGAGAAAGCAGCGTGTACTCTACGGCGGTGATGGCTTTGCTCGCTCTCACTTTCGCTCAGTTCTGCTGCTGCTCCTTGTGGTGGGTGCCCCAGCGCCACAGGCCACTGCGTTGGGTGTAC